AATACTTTCATCAAATCTTCAAGGCAGATGCCAATATTGATCTGAGTCATGTTGTTAATCTTGTGGAGTCGGTGATTACAGAGGAGGATAATAGAAGGTTGTGTCTGCCATTCTCTGATAAAGAGATCTCGGATGATCTCTTTCAAATTGGTCCCTTGAAAGCCCCGGGTCCGGATGGATTTCCAGCTCAGTTTTTTCAACGTAATTGGAGTGTTCTCAAGGAGAGTGTGATCACGGTTGTTAGAGAATTTTTTCGATCAGGCTTAATGCCGGAAGGTGTGAATTCCACTTCCATTACTCTTATTCCAAAGGTCTCTAACACGGTTAGTATGTTGGATTACAGGCCAATTAGTTTGTGCAATGTAATTTACAAGGTCATTTCCAAGTGCCTTGTAAACAGGCTTCGTCCTCTCTTGGATGACCTAATATCACCGGAGCAAAGTGCGTTTGTCCCAGGAAGGATGATAACTGACAACGCCTTAGTGGCATTTGAGTGCATTCACTATATAAAGCAGGAGAAAGATCCTTCCAGGAGTTTTTGTGCATATAAACTAGACCTCTCCAAGGCGTATGATAGGGTGGACTGGGTTTACTTGAAGCAAGTGATGCAAAAGATGGGATTCTCAGACCGATGGGTGGACTGGATAATGTCATGTGTCACATCGGTCAGATACTCTGTTAAATTAAATGGGACCCTCTTAGATTCATTTGCACCGACGCGGGGGCTTCGGCAAGGTGACCCTTTATCACCGTTCTTGTTTTTGTTTGTGGCTGATGGTCTATCTTCAATCCTTAAGCAGTGGGTTTCATCTAATGCAATTACCCCGGTCAAAGTCGGGAATATCACACTTATTATTTGCAGACGATACTTTATTATTTTTAAGGCTTCACTTGAGCAGTCCGTGGAGGTTAAAAAGGCCCTTGACCTGTATAACAAAGCTACTGGGCAAAGTCTCAATTATAGCAAATGCTCGTTGTTCTTTGGTACTTCTTGCCCGAAGGACGTACAAGATGCGATTCGTTCTACACTTAATGTCACATCTACAGTTTTTGAAGAGAGGTACTTGGGACTGCCTACTCCCGAGGGGCGGATGTCGAAAGGGAGGTTCCAAAATCTGCAAACTAGTTTAACAAAAAGACTAGTTCAGTGGGGAGATGGGTACCTTGCGCAACCAGGAAGAGAGACGCTGATTAAATCAGTGGCGTTGTCGCTGCCAACATATATCATGGGGTTTTTTAAGCTCCCCTACTCACTGTGTGATGATCTTACAAGAATGATTAGGAATTTCTATTGGGGGTCGGCAGAGGGGAAGAGGAAGGTACACTGGAAAGGCTGGGATCATTTGTTGCAGCCAAAATCTAAGGGAGGTGTTGGCTTCCGAGATATGTGTTTGTTTAATCAAGCTCTTTTAGCACATCAGGCTTGGAGTTTGATCACTAGACCGGATAGTTTGTGTGCCCGTGTCCTGAAAGCAAAATACTACCCTAAAGGGAAACTAGAAGATACGGTGTTTGCTGGTAATGCATCCTCGTCTTGGCAGGGTATTAGCCATGGGCTGGAGCTTCTCAAGAAGGGCTTGGTATGGAGAGTTGGTGATGGAAGAAGTATACGGATATGACGAGACAACTGGATACCGAGGCCATTTTCATATAAACCCATATCACCACAAGGAAGGTGTAGATTCGGTTTGTGGCTGGTTTACTCAATGATAATGGCTCCTGGAAATATGACCAAATAGCTAAGTATTTCTGTGCAGCCGATGTGTCTGAAATTATGAAAATTAGGGCTTCCCCACGACAGGAGGGGGATGTGCTGGCTTGGGGTCCGGGTAAGCTGGGTCTGTTCAGCGTGAAGAGTGCTTATGACTTGGCATTTGAGGAGCTGCATAGAAATAGTGCGGTGGCCAGCAGTACTAGCCCGGATGGGAGGAGATCGCTGTGGAAACTTATCTGGGCAGCGGAGGTGCCCCCGGCTGTGAAGAACTTCGCTTGGAGACTGACTTCAAATAGTTTACCAACTTGGGCGAACAAGCATAAGATTGGCCTTGAATCTTCTCCTCTTTGTCCTGTTTGTGCAATGGAACCGGAGGATAACTTCCATCCTATGCTACGATGCCCTCTAGTTCGCCACTTATATGAAACCATGGCGGAAGTTTGGAGATTACCACGGATTGAAACAATAAAATTCTCAGGCAAGGAGTGGCTATTTCAGACCTTGGAAACTTTGGATGAGTCGCAGCGAAGCATGATCCTTGTCACATTCTGGAGGTGTTGGTATGTTCGTAATGAAGTGGTACATTCAAAACCTGCCCCGCCAGTGGAGGTCTCTTCTAGATTTTTACAAAGCTATTTGGACTCGATTATTGCAGTTAAGGTGAGTTCACCAGCTGATCAGAGGAAGGGGAAAGCAAGTACAACACAGGAGAGGAGGGACCGGCAACCACCTGTCGTGCAACCGCCTAAATGGAAGCCACCCGCCCCGGGCTGGGTAAAACTTAATACTGACGGCTCGTTCGGTTCTGATGGTTTAGCAGGGGCTGGTATGATTTTGCGGGATGGAAATGGTGCAATCATCTTCTCAGCCTGTAGACAATTATTTTCTTGTCGTGATGCTCTGGAAGCTGAGCTCTGTGGTTGTGTGGAAGGTCTTTCTATGTCCATTCAGAGAAGTGAAGCTCCTATCATAATTGAGATGGACTCCTCAACTACTGTGGCTATGATTCAAAATGAAGAGATGGATAGATCGGTCTACTCTTCCTTGGTGAAGGAGATAAAGTTTCTGAAAGGCTTAAGGGAAACTTGTGTTACTCATGTTTGCCGTTTTTAAAATAAGGCTAGTGATAATCTTGCTACTTTTGCTAGACTAGAGAGAAGAAGTATGACATGGCTTGCTTCTGGTCCACCTGAGACCCTAGATTTCGTGCAAGCTGATTGTATTGATACTTTGATTGAGTAATACAAGCTTTTCCATCGCAAAAAAAATGATGTGGCTTAACGTAAATGCCACGTGAGGAGTCGATCTTAGAAGGAGGAGTATGTCCTGTGCACATTAAATTATCATTCCTACCACTAACGCGAAGGAAGAATACGGTCATTATGGTTTGTGATGTAATTATATTTTTTTCACATGTCATTTTTGTGTCTTTGTTGTTCTTCGATTGCACTGCTTGTTGTTTTCTTTGATAAATCAGATATGAGATGTTTCCTGGGTGTCTTCTCTCAGAAAAGATAAATAATTCAACTCACCAACCACGCTGTAATAAGCAAACCTATTGGTAGTGAGATGGGCATAGACATCAGGTTTGGTTTTGAGGCAAAAAAATAGATATTTCTTTAGGCAAATAGAAATTAGGCTTTTTTTAGTCTAAATTTTTTTGAGACAAAAAAAAAACATCAGGTTGCCTACACACAGAGTAGGAGGAATTGACCTTGCAAGGCCCAGCGGAGCCCAGTCCGTGTGGAGGCCCAAGTAAGGAAGTCCCCAAGACCCACGGTGTGCCTCGGTCGATAGCGTGGGGGCGCCGCCACCAGAAGAAAGAGAGGAGAGACGGACGCGGGACGCGAACCCTATTACCCCACCCCCCCACCCCCAACCCAGCTCTACTAAATCTCTCCTCCTCCCTCCTCCCCGCCGCCGCCGCCGCGCCCTACCTTACCGCCAGCCAGCCCCCTCAACCCCCTTCCTCCTCCTCCTCCTCCTCCACGCGCGGCGCGGCTGTCATCTCCGTCCGCCCCCTCTCCTCGTCGCGGCGAATCGATCGTGCTCCTCCCGTCCCCGCCCCGTCCGCCGTCTCGGGTTTTTGAGGTATGAGCTCGTTCCCGTCCCTCCACCGATTGGTTGCTCGAGCCTCCGCGGTTTCTCGGCGCGCACGGACTAGATCCGCTCCCGGCCGAGGGAGATACGCTCGATTGCTTTAGAGTTCGCTGCTTACTGGGTGCTGTTACTCCATTGATGATGTCTGCGTCTCCTCTAGTAGTTGTCTAATCTGCGTGTTACTCCCTTGATTGATGATGCTTGCGTACCGTCGATCCGTGCTTGTATGTATTAGTAAGTATTTAGCTCGGCTGTTACTCCATTGAATTTCTGTGTGGCATATGCGAAGATGAGACACGGAAAACCCCACTAGTGCAGGAGGGCGTCTTGCTCTTTGGCAGCAAGGTTGCCAAACGCATATTCTTGGGCGTATCTGCCGCTGCCTAACAAAGCAGTAGCTTTGCCGCCACAGACGGCCCAAAGCTGGCTGCCTCCGGTGTAGCCGCAGCTGAAAAATCACCTTTTTCATCTTGTATAAGGCACGTGGTAGATGTCCAATTAATTCTCGGAGCCGCACGTGCCGCCCTTCCTGCTGTTTCTTGCGCCGCGTCGCTTGGGAAGGGCTGCGCTATGAGTATGCTGCGTGCCAGCCGTTGCCGATGGAGGAAATAAAGCGCGCCGGAGGCCTTCCAGATACGATCACACTTTCAGATCTCCCAGCTGTTGCAGCGATGACGTGGGAGTGTTTGAGGTTCTCATTTGTGGGGTTAGTTTCCTTTGAGTTGCCAACATGTGGCATTGGCATTAAATGAGCAGTTCTCGAGGAATTTGGGCGCATACGCTAGAGAATTAAGGCCTTCCAGTTGGGAGAATCTAGAAGGGGAGGTGGAACTAGCACGTGTGTTGGCCAGTTTTTATCCTTTCTTTTTGTTTCCTGTTTCCTTGGTTAAATTATTTTTAGAGATGTGAGTAATTAATAAACTAAAAGATGGGGAGTAGCTAATACTGCTGCTGCTGTATGTGCGTTGGTTGTCAAGTGCCTTACTCTTTAAATTCACATGGATACAGTTCTCCACTTTATACTTTAGTTGCTCATATTCACGTCTCCCTTTTAGTATGAAAGTGCTATTTAATTATCTAATAGATACATGATTTTTTTGCAGGAGTGCAGATTGTATAATACTGAGGCTCAGTTGTTTGCATCTGGATTGAGGAGTTTCTGTTTGTAACCTGACTACACTGTTCAATGGGTTCCAAGAGGACTTGTCTTCTGATCACTTACTCTCCGGAGATAGTAGATGGCGTGCCTTTGTATGTGTCATCTAATTGCCTGCCTGTAAAAGCTTCCAAGTATGAACCTGCTGGCCATTCTTTCCATGCGGTCGCACTGAAGCTCCGTGGTCTTGATGAGAAAGAAGACACTGAAACTGATGATCGTAGTGTGTCATCAGATGACAAGAGCCAAGATTTTTCTGCTGGTTCAGATAACTTCAGCAGCAAAGGAAAGAAGAAGTCTGGTTCTGGAAGTCAACAACAAGATCACTATGCATTGCTTGGATTGGGCAACTTGCGGTTCTTGGCCACCGAAGATCAGATTCGGAAGAGTTACCGTGACATGGCTCTTAAACATCATCCAGACAAGCAGGCTGCTCTTCTTCTCCATGAGACAACAGAGGCAGCAAAGCAAGCAAAGAAGGATGAGATAGAGAGCCATTTCAAGGCCATACAGGAAGCTTACGAGGTCCTCATGGATCCTACCAAGAGAAGGATTTTTGACTCAACTGATGAGTTTGATGATGATATCCCAACTGACTGTGCACCGCAAGACTTCTTTAAGGTCTTCGGACCAGCCTTCATGAGGAATGGCCGATGGTCTGTTACCCAGCCAATTCCTTCTTTGGGAGATGATGCTACTCCTGTAGTGGATGTTGACCAGTTCTACAATTTCTGGTATAACTTCAAGAGTTGGAGGGAATTTCCACATGAAGATGAGTATGACTTGGAGCAAGCTGAGTCTCGTGAACACAAGAGATGGATGGAGAGGCAGAATGCGAAGATACAAGAGAAGGCCAAAAAGGTAGAGTATACGCGAGTACGTAATCTTGTTGACAATGCGTACAGGAAAGACCCAAGGATCCAGAGGAGAAAGGAGCAGGAGAAGGCTGAGAAACAGAGGAGAAAGGAGGCAAAATACATGGCCAAGAAACTGCAGGAGGAGGAAGCTGCAAGGGCTGCAGAAGAGGAAAGGAAGAGGAAAGAAGAGGAGGCGAAGATAGCCGCAGCAGCTGCTGACATTCGAAAGAAGTTGAAGGAAAAGGAGAAGAAGTTGCTACGCAAAGAGAAAAATCGCCTGCGCGCACTTGTGGGCCAGGTAGTTGGTGAGTCCCACTTCAGTCTGTCAAAGGAGGATGTTGAAACAGTATGCACATCACATGATTTTGAACAGTTGAAGAAACTCTGTGATATTATGGAGGACAAGGATACAGCTGAAAAGGCCAGGTTGCTGAGAGGTGCACTGAGCAAAGAAGAAAACTCCTCGAATACCTCAAAAGAAGAGAAAATTCATGCCAATGGTGTGGCGGATTCTACTCCAAAATCCACTGTCCCACAAGGCACTCCAAAATCCACAGCCCCACAAGTCATTACACTAGGCAACTATGAGAAAAAAGAGAAAGAGTGGGGAAAGGAAGAGGTTGAATTGCTTAGGAAAGCTATACATAAGTATCCGAAGGGAACTAACAAGAGGTGGGAGGTTATTTCAGAGTTTATTGGTACTGGTAGATCTGCTGACGAGATTTTGAAGGCCACAAAAACCATTCTTCTGCAGAAGCCAGACTCTGCTAAAGCTTTTGACTCGTTCCTTGAGAAACGCAAAGCAGCTCCATCTATTGTATCGCCTCTTTCCACAAGAGATGAGACGGCTGGTGGTTCAACTGTGGGAACTGGCACTGAACCATCCAAGGCGGCTGAACAACCTGCTGCCAGCAGCAGTCAGACAGCTAAGGAGAAAATTGGTGTTGATCCTGTCCTGGAAGAAGCACCTTCTGCAACAGATCCAGATGCCTGGTCAGAGGCCCAGGTGCTGGCCCTTGTTCAAGCTTTGAAGGCGTTTCCCAAGGATGCAAACCAAAGATGGGAGCGAGTAGCTGCTGCTGTCCCTGGTAAAACAGTGGTGCAGTGCAAGAAAAAGGTTGCGTCAATGAGGACGAACTTCCGGACCAAGAAGGCGGAGTAGAAGCAGATCACCACTGAGGTACTTTTGCGATTAGTAGCTGAGAGAAGCTAGTCTTTGAACAGCATTATTCTATTTATTCTATACTAGATACGTTCATTTGACCTTTGATGCCATTTACATTTCTCCCATGTCGTCCTGTATCTGATCCTGATCAGAGTGTTATCTTTTACATTCCTGTAGATGTTTTGTTATTCAATGTTGATCATGAACATTATGCTTGACTCCATGTCCATGGTGTGCTGTAGTTATTTGTACCACAAGATCCTGTCGGATTATATCTTTGTTGTAGAACCTGTGGCATGCGCTTAGACTGTCTTGTATATGATGTTATTTATGTCCTTCAGTATTTAGAGTAGATGCTGTCAATTTTTCAGGTGATGCATGCCATGTTTAAATTGCTACCATGCTTGCGGTTTTCTTGATCAGGACGGTCTTTGTGCTGCAGCTGGCTTGTCTTTGTTTCTCTGTCTCTATATATAGTAGGTCTGGTTCTGGTAAAAAAATAATTCGCCCATGATATGTTTATCTGAAATTAGAAAGCTGCAAAAACCAGTATAATGTTGTTTACCGGCACATGCTATAAATTAAACTAACTAGTAACTAGTCATGATCTTAATTGGTATCCTGGCATGAGTTGGGAGTATTATTATCACACAGGTTGGGTGGATTGCTGTTGGATACCCTTTACCCAGTTATATATCTTGCTAAACCTTGTCTCTCGTGTTGTTTACAGGCTACACAAGAAGAAGATTGGTCGATTGCCTTTTGAAGACCCTGGGGCTCGCTTGCTGGTGACTTTCTGGATGGTGGAGACGACGAGGCTTTGTGGTCAAGACCCAGCTGGTTTGTTACCAGGAGCGAGTCCCTGAAGTCGCTGATGATCGAGGCAGCTATTGAGAGAGAAGAGAGAAAGATAGAAGCTTAGATCAAAATTTTGAGTTATGGAAAATTACATACCTACCTTATGATTTATCGTGATGATGTTCCCCTGCATACAGTATACTTCTAGCTGATGCCTGCTATATTGGTTATGAATTTATGCTGACGTTATTCTTGTTACGCTAGTCATCGTTAAGATTGTGGAAGTTGAGTATCAGTTTCGCTATGTTGTTCTCTTGATGTCTTGCTGCTTTAGCTCATGATTTTAATCTTGTGTGCTCTCTACCTAGACAGATGGCGACAGTAATTTTTTGTTGCTGCAAAAAAGCACAGGCAAAGGGCTGGCTGTCAAATTTTGTGCTCAGCAGACATTTCCACTGCTTGAGCGGAAGGCTCGTGGTGTGTTTCTAAACTAAAATGCATCTTCCGCCGCTGAGTTTTGTAGCTTAAAAAACGCTCTTATATTGTGGGACGGCGACTTAGGGAGTACAGGACAGGAAGGAGAGGAGATATGGGCAGGATCTGAATCTGAATGTTTTGCTCTTGTCTGCTGCACCGTGCGTGCAGTGAAGTTTCAGGTTCAGTTGAGTTGAGTTCAGGAGCCAACCAAGCCTCTGTCTCATTCCTTCTTCCCATGTGCTGTATCACTAGCTATCCTATGTTGCGTTGCTCTTGCTGGGATTACGGCCGGCTGCAGGGGATCCTGGGGACGGACCGTACCCGAACTGCTGCGCGGCCATCTCCACCCTCTCTAAGACAAGCGAGTTTGGAAAGGGGTTCAGTTCAGATAGAAAACGTAGGCTATGTGACAAGGTCAGATGAGTAACGTAGGGTAGGTATGTCCGTGGACGATAGGCTCTCATGTCCCGACATTTTGGGATTAGTCAATACGTCCACAAATGGTCGCTATCACAAAAATTCATATAAAGACATTCCAAAAAATTCTGAAATTATTTGACAACATACCTCTACAACTTAGAAACAATTCAGCTCAAAACTAGATGTACATTTAGAGATTCAAAAAAGAAAAATTCAAATGTGAATAATGGCAACTTTGGGTGAGTAGTATTTTGACATTATTCATATGCAATTTTGTCTTTTTTTTTGTTTCTATTAGTGTAGGTCAAATTAGGAGCTGAAGCTTCTTGGGCTTATTAGGCTCTGTGTGCTCGGGATGTAATTGACCTTTTGATTCGGTAGGAATTACATATATAATTGTTATATATCGCCTGCAGTGAGCGATACGGGCCAATCGCCCATAGATACTTCGGTGCATATATGTGTTTGTTTACTGCCATCCCGGTTCTTATGCGGACGGAACTTTCCAGCCAAGTTTTTTGTGCTTTCTTCAGCCTTTTACATTATCTTCCTTTCCTTTCAGCCTTTTACATTATCATTTTATAAATTAATTTTATACAATAATATATTTTTAATATATGATGAACATTTTTTAAATACACATTGAACTTTTTTCAAATACATGTTGAATTTTTTAACATATGTTTAAAAACAATTCAAATACATGTTGAACATTTTTTTCTTACTCGTCTAATTTTCAAAAAATCGTTAACATTTTTCAATCCATAAATATTTTTAAGTTTCACAATTTTTAAAAGTTCATGAATTTTTTAACATATGTTGAAAAGAAATTAATACATGTTGAACATTTTGTCTAAAAAATCATGAACATTTGTAAATTCATAAATATTTTTTAAGGTTCATAATTTTAAAAATTTCATGAACTTTTTCTAAATTTGTAATCATTCTGTAGAAGTCATGAACATCTTTTGGAATTTACCTTTTTGACTTTGTGTTCTTTTTTGAAGATTAACAAAAATTACAAACATGGATTCATGGTGTAAGCGACAAGTGACAATTTGAAAGAATGGCGGCCATGCACAAGTCTTGACGTTTAAAGCGTGCAACATGTAGACTCTCCAAAGTGAGTTTCTGTTGAGTCATTATATACACTGCTTAAAGTACTACTCCACTATGTCATATATTTGGTGTCCTGTCTATAATGTTTTGAGGACAACTATGCTCCTTATGTCATATATTTGTTTGTTCATGTAACATTGTTTGTTATCAATAAAATGTGTGATTACTCTAGTACTTCCAAGTCACATAAACATAACAAAAGTCATACACCATGTGTGATTGTTTTGAAGCTTGATCAGGTACACATTTGAATCACACAAAATAAATATTGTTGACATCTCATACATTCTACAATCTCCACTGAGTTGCACCTAACCTTGAAAATACTATATCAACAAGGGCGCACATTAATACATCATACTGCATTAAGAAACATAAATAAGATACATTACATACACATGCTTAGTTTGCTATTGTTGAATTGTGTTTTCTTGTGCATATTTTATAATCTTCTACAGAAAGTTAGCCACAAAAAGGTCAAAAAGTAGACAAAATATAATTATCTAATTAGGATTACCGTAGTCTACCATAATGGCAAACTCACACTAAGAATATAAAACTATTTTAGAAAATAATGTAATATTTTTGCTTGCTTAGATTTTGGTGAAATCCACTATACAATAATAATTACGAGCAAACAATTTAATAAAAATATGACAAAATATAGTGAAATGTAGCACACCAAAATATATTTGTAGTGATAAATATTTAAATGATATTAAATTATATGACATAAATGACCTTATATACATACATGTAGTTAAAATTGTTAATTTTGTTAGATATACTTGATAAACAAAATTTAAAATGATACATGGAAGAGTGTATCAGTAAGAATGACACACACACACACAATGATGAGATGAGTTATGATTAAGTAAAAGAGTTTAGTATAAATAAGTTAACCATTGAAAGAAAGTGTAAACACCCTCTGAACTTTCACATTTGGAGCACATCACCCCTAAACTACAAACCGGGATCTTAATCCGCTGAACTAGCCAAAACCGAACAGATCACCCCCTGAGTGTGGTTTTAGCGGTTTGGAACACTGGTTTGTCTACATGGTAGGGGTAATTAATTAACTACCCTGAATCTGGGCTGAGGTTGGTGTTTGATTCCGAATTTCACATGCAGATCCACATCAATTTCAATATACATCATTTAAATTAATCATAATATTTCTGCATGAAACTTGTTTAATAGGTAATGCAGTTCCTGATCAATCCATGCAAGCCAATGATCCTAGCGTTGTCAAGGCCTGGTTCGAAGAAGAATATCACTACTCTTGTCAAAACATTTGGAGAATGTCGCCCGGTGAGGTAACTTGCAAACTTAGTAAACAATATCTTGCCATCTTATACACGTCTTAGTTGAATAAGTACAAGTCAGTTATACAACTTTAGTAACCATATTTTTTGTTTCAGTTATAGACATTTAGTAATCATATTTTTCATGTCTATATCATCAAATGTCAAAAGATATAAAAAGACTATATGCAGGAGTGTTGCGTGTATTTCATTAGATAGTAAGAAAAGTACAACACCATAGAAAGGCATCATACAATGACCCAACAAACAAAGCAAAATGTCAAAAGATCATCCACATATCATTGTTACCTTGATGAAAGGAGTAACCAAAAAACATGTTTTAGAATATCTTGTGGTAGGTAACAAAATTTACATAATCTGTTTTCAGGTTCTAACCACAGGGACAGATATGACAACACTAAGATGCCTCGTGGCAATGCGAACGTCCTCACCACAATCCTAAAGCTGGTCAATGAGTATGATCTGTATGGAAGCGTGGCCTTCCCCAGACATCACAACCAGGCCGACTTCCCGAAGATTTATTGCCTCACCACAAAAACAAAGGACTGCAGAATGTCATATCAACCATGTTTTAGCTTCAGCATCTTATTTTGAGTCCTGACGGGAAACACTGGTTATTTCCTGCCGGGTGTCTTCATCAATCCTGCTCTTGTGGAGCCTTTCAGCCTTACACCGACCGAGATCAACTTAAGCTTCAGTTCTCTGATAATGACAATCACCTGATGCTTTCGTGTTGCCATAGAAAATAAAAGATAAACATAACTTAATATTGGCAATCCTATGGCCTTTAGGCTGCGACGCACATGCTCCCGATCATCGCCACCAAGAACGGCAGTCCGGTCGACATTACGAATTTAAGCATTCATCTTGTTTTTCCACATCCCATGTTGCAAATTTGCAATGCACTAGTTATGTCTGAAAGTCCATGTAACTGCTGAAAGTGCGGTTCAGTTGAGTTAGCTCAGGAGCCAACCAAGACTTCGTCTCCTTACTTCTTCCCATTGGTTAGCTATTCTATGTGGCATTGCTCTTGCTGCACATGGCCATGACCATACGCTGGAGCTGCGGCTCATCGCAGGCAGGGGATCCTGATGACGTACGCCCGGCTGGCCATACCCGAACTACTGCGCGACCATCTGCAGGAGGCCGCCATGCACGGCTCCTTGAGCGCACCATCACCCTCTCCTCTCCATCCTCGCCCACCAACGCCAGTGGAAGGTACCTGTAACGCCCCAAGACCGTTGTGCCGGGTGTCTCCCAGTTATTCGCTATCGTTGCCATGTCTTTTGCTTGCGTGTTGCATTTCATCATGTCATCATGTGCATTGCATCATCATGTTTTTGAAACTTGCATCCGTCCTGGTCTTCCGGTTCTCTCCGTGTCCGTTCTGAGCCCAACCACACTCGCACGCGCCCGCGGCATGTCCGAAATAATATTTTATAAGTGGCCGGAAAATGTTCTCGGAATGGGATGAGAGTTGGCGTGCGGTCTTGTTATAGTGTAGGTAGACCGCGTGCCAAGTTTCACCGCAATCGGAGTCCGTTTGATGCCCCAACAGATATTTATAGCGGCAATATAGTCGGTCTATCGTCACACGTTTTCGGGTCTCCGAAAACTGTTGCCG